TCCTCCATTTTCCTGCTCATTTGATACTTTTTTGAAAATTTAAAATATTTCAATTTCAGTGAATACCTTCTCAATTGTCATGCTCCTCTGATACTTTTTCAAAAATATTGAATTTCCAAATTTCCGTGAATGCTTTCTCGATTTTCATATGCCCCTGATACTTTTTAAAAAATTTCGAATTTTCACATTTCAGTGAATACCTCTTTCATTTTCATGTTCCCCTGATACTTTTTTAAAAATTTTGAATTTTTCAATTTCAGTTAATACCTCTTCAATTGTCATGCTCTCCTGATAGTTTTTCAAAAATTTCGAATTTTCAAATTTCCGCGAATACCCCCTCGATTTTCATGCTCCCCTGATACTTTTCCCAAAATTTCAAATTTTCCAATTTTCGTGAATACCTCCTCGATTTTCATATTCCCCTGATAGTTTTTTGAAAATTGTGAATTTTTCAATTTCAGTGAATACCTCCTCCATTTTCATGTTCTCCTAATACTTTTTTATAAATTTCGAATTTTAACGTTTCAGTGAATACCTTCTCAATTTTCATGTTCCCATGATACTTTTTTGAAAATTTTGAATTTCTCAATTTCGGGGAATACCTCCTCAGTTGTCATGCTCTCCTGATACTTTTTCAAAAATATTGAATTTTCAAATTTCAGTGAATACCTCCTCGATTTTCATGTTCCTCTGATACTTTTTTGAAAATTTTCAATTTTCAGATTACCGTGAATACCTCCTCAATTATCATGCTTTCCTGATATTTTTTCAAAAATTTCGTATTTTCAAATTTCAGTGAATACCCGCTCGATTTTCTGATACTTTTTCAAACATTTCGAATTTTTTAATTTCAGTGAATACCTCCTCCATTTTCATGTTGTCCTAACACTTTTTTATAAATTTCGAATTTTCAAATTTCAGTGAATACCTTCTCGATTTTCATGTTCCCCTGATACTTTTTTGAAAATTTTGAATTTTTCAATTTCAGTGAATACCTCCCCGATTTTCATGTTGCCCTGATACTTTTTAGAAAATTTTGAATTGTTCAATTTCAGCGAATACCTCCTCCATTTTCATGTTCTCCTAATACTTTTTTATAAATTTCAAATTTTCAAATTTCAGTGAATACCTTCTCTATTTTCATGTTCCCCTGATACTTTTTTGAAAATTTCAAATTTTTCAATTTCAGTGAATACCAATTTCACTCCGTCAACTTGTCCCTCTGACAGCGAAACTGCTGCTGAGACAGTTGCCGAATCGGCTGATCAGCAGGCACCCTCATTGCGTGTGACGCCCTCCCTCTCTTGGGGTGCAGTACTACGATGCCTCTACCCATGTCTAGCCTTCTTTTCGCAATCTATGAACTTCTTTGATGTAGAAAACATAGAAAATGTGTTCAACGGAAACCTACCGACAATTGGACAGCCAGAATCCGAAATGAGCTCAAATGTACATCCTCCACTAGAGGCCACTTGGAATGAAAAGTCACACACAGTGTGAGAATCAGCTGAAATGTAGAAGCTCCAATTACGAAAACAAATGGGTAAACAATTGTTTTTATCAATGAATTGTTTTTATGAATGAATGAATTTCATGAAATATTTTACAGATTCTCCCAAGATGAAAAAACTCAAACCTAATGATTCTACGGATTCTGTTAGCCGAAAAATTCTCCCTGATGTCATAAATTGGGAGAGCCCGCAATTAATTGCCATTGAATATCATGTATGCGGAAATCATATCGAAATCACCTACAATACATTATACAATGTTTCGAAAAGCATAGAAAAACTTGTGAAAAATTGTTGTAATTCACAGTTCATTGGAATTAATTCTGATATTCCGCCAGTATGCATTCCATCTCTAATGATTGGGTGAGTGACTCTAGATATATTAAATATCAATATCTACCCAACAAACATTATGTCAACAATCTGTCGACAAATTGCTGATGCCATAAAAATTTTAGAAGGCAATAGCAAAATTTTTTTTCTAGGTAAATTCTTACTATTCAAAATTACCCAAAAGCTAATAATAATTTTTCGAACCATAAGCACTTGTTTTCGAGGAAATGAAAATTTACTGGAATTATTTCCTACACATTGAAAATATAGATTAAACGGCCAGATTCAAGATGACATTTTTTTCAGAACTAATTTGGCAAATTGTGCTTTCGTCTGTCTTCAATCATCGCCCTCAGACTCTACCCTATTTAACAGTGAATTGGAAATTGGATACATTTTCGCAAAAAAACTATTAGATAACACAGAATTAATTGAGGAACTCCACATTCATGATGAATCCTTATTATTTCTCAAATTCAAAGGATATTCACTGAAGAATCCTGTTGAAAAAGAGAATGTCTATACATATGCAGTGACCACTTCTGGATCAACTGGAAATCCTAAAGTAGTTAGAGTAACTCATGCCTCAATAATTCCGAATATTGCGGACCTTAAAAAAATTCTAGAACTCTCAAGTGAAGACAAAGTCGCCCAGCTGACACCTTTGACCTTTGATCCAAGTGTGATTGAAATATTCATAGCATTGTCATGCAGTGGAACTCTCTTCATTTCCTCCGAAGATATGAAAAACGATCCTCAAAAGCTTCTAGAAACAATAACCACCAGGAGTGTGACGATTATGCAAAGTACACCGTCTCTTTTAATGCATCGCTGGTCCTTCTCAGAGTTAAGATCTAAAATGTTTGGAGAACAGAGTCATCTAAGAATCCTTTTACTTGGCGGCGAAAGATTTCCAAGTCCGCAAAAGCTATTTGATTTAAAACATCCAGCAAATAAATGCAGATTGTTCAATATTTATGGAATTACTGAAGTTTCCTGTTGGGCAAGCATCAACGAAATTCTTCCCCAATCGGATCCAAGCGATCTTGGACAAGTGTTGGGTGAGACAATATTTGAAATTAGAGATGAAAATGATAAAGTGGTTACGCAAGGAGAAGGGCATCTATATGTTGGAAGTAAGAGTAGAATTTGCTTATTAAATAATGAAATACTTGAAGAACTGAAATATCCAGTATTCAGAGATACTGGAGACTTGGTAACATGTAATAACTCTGGAAAAATATTTCTCAATGGCAGAAAAAATCGCCGAGTTAAAAGATTTGGGCACAGAATGGATTTACAAGA